TTTAACTATTTGCTAACATTAGACGTTGGACTAACTACCATCGTAACTTCTAGCAAACATTGCTTTAACAAAAGGTATGAAGACCAAGATGGTGTGGCCTTTTGTATGGTTTAGTGGACGATTGGTCGAAGCATCGGCTTCACTTGTCTCTGACGAATTGTTGTGTGGTGCTAAGAATGGCAAAGTTCATTGACAATGTCGACTACGGTGCCGGCCAATTGTCTATGAATGTACCAAGTCCACGGTCCGACTGGAAATCATCATGAATATTATTTACTTTGAATTATTTGTGTTCCTCCAGGTTTTTCTACCAATATGACCAAGTTGCGAAAACACGGTCAAACAAATTGCTTTAACAGATTTTCCATTTTGTGTACACATCTTTTGTTTTTCATTGTTACGCTAGCCTACATTTCCCATTATTTTTAACCCTTCCATTTCACGTATACTTTGTTTCTTAAACACTTCCAGTAATCACAAAGCTCTTCTCTTTGCGTCTTTTTGCTTTTTATTCTTATCAACCGTTAATAGGCAGCACTGGAGCCGTTTATCAAGCATTTAATTTAACCATGCGCGAAATGATGGCAGTCAAGGAGATACGACTTGAGCATTTTCCCATCGACCTTTGCCCTTCTGATTTTGAAAGTCAGGGTGAAGGAGCCAGAGGCAACATTTTAGCTGTAACGAACAACGAGTTTTCTTTGTCCAACACCAACAATTCTTCGTCTTCGTCACCCTTAGTTGTGTCTACGAGGAACGATAGTTTCACCTCTTCTACTTTGGTTCCCTTGTCCTCTTTGGAAAATGTTCATCAATTAACTTTCTCGCCCCAGAGTAATCGGAAGTCTTTAGATCCAGGACTTATGTCTTCACATTTCGCGTTGACGGACAAAGGGTCTCACTTGATCAGCCAGACTGAGGCCAGGCACCAGTTGGCTCGGCTCTCTGCTTGCCTGCGCGAATGTGATCTCCTTGCCAGTCTCAATCATCCTGGTTTGGTTAGATTCTTGGGAGCTGAGGAAGCAATTCTTGTTCAACCTGGTAAGTC